TCCCCCAGGCCTTGTGTCCTTAGGAGAAAAGCCAGGGTGGGTTTTATCACTCCCCCTCTGCGGGTGGTTGGGGACCCTGGTGGCCTCTGGGCTGGGGACAGTGAAGGGACAGCTTGGGAAAAGCACATGGCACCAGCATGCTGGGGCTGGGAGGGTGGAGGTGAGGATGTGGGGATCATGAGGATGACGGGGGTCAGTGCAGATTCTGGGGTCACTGAGGGCACTTTGTGCTTTGCTGTGTTCTGGAAGTGCCCGGGCTGGAGGAGCTGCCTCCTCCAGAGGGGATGGAGCATCCCAGGAGTGCAGGACCTGACAGAGCAGAGGCAACCAGTGAGGGCCCAGTGGTGCTGTGCATAAATCACTGCTCACGAGACCAACCCTGCCCCGAAAGAAAAGACCCCGTCACCACCAAGCAAACACAGCTGCTGCACTGGTGACATCGAAATTGGTCCTCTGATCAGTCATCTTCCACAAGAGATTCTCTTTTTGGTTTTGCTTTAATTTTCCCTTTTTTTTTTTTTTTTTTTTTTTCCTGCCCATGTGGGTTTTGTTTTTGGGGGTTTTTTTGGTTTTTTTTTTTTTTTTGTTTTTTTTTTTTTGGTGTGCACAAAATGCCGCTAATGACAAACTGTGGTGCCCGTGAGTGAGTGACAGCTGAAATAAGAGAAATGACTAATCGTGCCTCCCCAAGCCCTGTCGCATGGAGATTAAATGAGCCCTTTTTTCTTCCCCCCTCAATGAGAATCATGGGCATTTGAATAATAATATTATAGTCTCCATTAGGATGACAGTGGGGGAAAAAATCGGCTCAGACCTGTGATTATTCCTTCAATCTAATAATTATTTAAATACCAGATAACTCCTTTCAGCCTAATTGAGGCCTTTCAGCTGCTTGGGTTTATATTGTGTCCCTGAATTTACTCTCGCTTTCACCTTGCGTTACTAATAGCTTCAGATTGCATTTAAGGCTGTGTTTTAAACTGTCTTCCAGGAAAAAAAAAAGGCAGAAAAATAGAAATTAATGATCAAATAGTATTTAAGGATCAGAATTAAAATGGCCCACTCTCCTGTTTCCCTGGTGTTTAACTCCCCAGGTGTTTGGCCATCCCCAAACTCCTCCATACAGGGAATCACAGAATGGATTGGAAGGGACCTTAAAGAGCATCCAGTTCCATCCCCCTGCCATGGGCAGGGACACCTTCCACTAGCCCAGGTGGCTCCAAGCCCTGTCCAACCTGGCCTTGGACACTTCCAGGGATGGAGAAGCCACAGCTTCTCTGGGCAACCTGTGCCAGGGCCTCTCTATCCCCACAGGGATGAATTTCTTCCTGATATCTGATCTAAACCTTTTGTGCAGAGGGTTCCTCTCGATGGTTGATGTCTGTGTGGCTGAGCACTGCTCAATCCTGCCCTCACAAGTCACCCTCCAGCCCTGGGGGAGTGGGAGCTGCAGGAGCTGCCCCTGGGGGTTACACGGATCCGGGGATGGCTCATGGTTCCCAGTGCACTCGGGTAGGATGTCAGCTCGTGGCCGTGCTCTGTCATGTTCAGATAATGTTTGAAAGCACAGATTCTTCTTCCTGGATGATCTCTCTTGCCGTTGGCAGTGACTGTTCACGAATACCCTGCAAAACCTTCACTGTAAGGCACAGCATAGAAGTTGGGCTTCAGCTGACAGCTCTGCTGCACAGCAGCTCCATTTGTACTGTGTCTGGATGAAAACATTGCTGGAAAAGATGTAAAACTGCCGTGGTCAAAGTGAAGAGCTGCTGTTGTCCCATATGTACAGATGCACGTGAAATGTGATTATTTAAATGTGTTCATTTCTAGCTGGCACTGTTGATTTTTTTCCCTTTTCAGTGGAACAACTTTTTAAAAAATTGGAAAATGCTGAGCAGGAAGACTGTGGGTGCTGAGCTTTACAGCAGAGCCTCCCTGTTCCCTGTAGAATCTCTCACTTTCAGGACTTCCCTTGAACCAGAGGCCTCTGCCTGTAGAGGACCATGTCCCAGCACTTGCTTGGGGCACTGTGGTGGTCCAGGCTTCTTGTGTGTTGTTTTGGAGGTGCTCAGCCACTGACCTTGTGCGCTGGTCTGAGGGTGCTCTGCCACTGGCTTGGACACTCTGTGGCACTCCTGTGTCTGCAGGTTTTGTGCTGCCTTTCCTGGACACCTCTGGAGCTCTCCCATGGTGCAGGTTTCCCTGTGTGTTTACCAGAAGTCACCCCATTGCTGGCTGGCATTTCCCTGCCAGTGCCACACATGGATTTCTTCCTGTCTTGGGCTGCCCTGCCACGTTATCCAAGAGCAAAGCTGCTCTGAGATCCCTGTGCCCCACAATCAGATTGTCAGTGCCCACCATGGGTCACCAGCACCCCTGGTATGGGCAGATTCCTCTGAGCAGATCCTTGTGAACTGTTTGATTTGTTCCATTTCCAAAGATTCCGGATTCAGAGAATAGTTTGGGGGAAGTTCACACAGAAATTTAACGGGAAGAGCCGGGAGGTCCCCCCGGTGCTGCCGTGGCACGTCGGGGAGCAGCTGCTTTCTGCCACAATCATCCAAACAGCACGAAGGATCCGGCAGGGTCCGTGTCCTCCCCGGGAGAGAGAAACTGCCTCAGCCAAAGGTGGGAATTAAGAGACTGGCAGAGGAGCAGCCGGGGAAATGTGTCCCTGAGCAGAATGAGAAAGCCATTACCGCTCTCGTTCTCCTGTCTTGTCAGTGCCACGGAGACGTGCAGCCCAGGGACAGAGCTCCTTTGTCACCTCTCAGGAACACCCGTCTCCGGCTCCTGGCAGTGACAAGCCTAAAGAGCGGCTGTTCGGTGACATGAGCTCATGAGCTCAGTGTGGGCTTTCAGCAGCCCTGAATTATTTTAAATACCCACAGAGCGGGGGGTGCCCGCGGGCGAGGGCAGCTGAGCGTGGGCTGGGCAAGGGCACGTTTGCACCCAGGGCAGGGCATGGGGTCAGAGCTGCAGGGAGCAGGTTTATCCCCCTGGGTGGGCTGGGGGCTTGGGTAGTTGTGGTGGGAGATGACAGGACTTCAGTGCAGAGAGGGCAGGTGGAACAGTGGCTCATCCTCAGCTTCTTCCCAGGGCTGGTGTCCCCCCAGGATGGTGGGGAATGTCTCTCCCCAGGGTAGGCTGAAATGGTTCTTTTCATTGTCCAGCCTGGAATGCATACTTTGGGATAAAGGAGAACCTTGTAGTGATTTTCTGAGTCCGTGCAGTCAGACAGACCTGTGGTCAGCTTGAGCAAGCTGGCCTAGTGGAAGGTGTCCCTGCTCATGGCAGGGGGTGGAACAAGATGAGCTTTTTTAAGGTAATTTCCAACCCAACCCACTGTATGATGATGATGGTGGAGATGAGCAAGGCTGAGGTCAAGCCAGGTACACAAGTTACAGTCAGGTCTGGACATGGTAACAAGAATGAGACACGATCCAGTGACCTTCAGGCACATTTGTGGTGACAAGGAGGGTACAGAGAATGCTCTCTGAACCCTTACATGGTGCCCAGCTCAGAGTGTTGTTCTGGTGGTCCCAGGGCTCCTCTGAGCTGGGTCTCTCCTCTGTGCAGGGCGCTGGGCTGTCATTGCTTCCAGCTGCTTTGTGGGAGCCCGAGGTGGGGCTGGAAGTCTGGTGGCTGGGCTGGGAACCAAGCCAAGACCTCCTGTGGGGGGTGGTCCGAGCTGGACCCACCTTAGGTGAGACAGACGTGGAAATGCAGGGATTGGGATTGTCTTTGATGTCCATATTTTTGCAAAGGGGAGTGTGCCCGCTCAGCAGAGGTGCTGGTGACGAGGTGGAGCAGGGAAGAGGGTTACAAGGGTCCTCTCCAGCAGCTCCTGTGTCTGCCTGGGCGCGTGCTGAGCGGAAGGGCGGGTGGAGAGCTCTGATGTAAACATGCCTCACGCTGCCGGAGTGTCTCCGAGGCGAGCACATGCTTCCTAAGGAAATTCCAGCCTGGTGATTCCTAATTCAGCCTGGCAGCTGCCTGTGCAAGCCCAGAGGATGGGGGTAGGGATCAGCAGGGCTCTAGGGATCCCTCAGGCCCCAGTGAGGTCTAGGTCCTTTGGCAGCAACCACGAAAACAAAACAAGAACCAAACCTGACTGGTTTTGTGCCTCATTTCAACATGGATTTTGGGCAGAGGTTTCCAGCTCGAGACTTACCTCGTCTACATGGTGAAAACACATCAGTCAGAGGAGACTCTGTGCCTGACTCTTCTCCACAAAGCTATCAGGAAGGGCATATGGATAATTTGATTGCCACTGGGTCTTCTGGACCCAGGCTGTCTCTTTGTGCAGCTTTTAGTCATCTCCTGCAAGTTTTGTTCAAGCAGGAAATTTGTCTCCCAGACTGGTCGTCTCTCCCCTACACATGGTGCTGCTGGTGGCTGATCTAACCACGTGCTCCCACCTCGGTGGCAGGTGCTTTTTGGCACCTTTGTGAAGGCTGGGAGAAGTTTCTGCCTGAAAAGCACCCGCTTGAGGCACTTCTGGCTCTGGGATGGAGGGGGGATGCTGGTGCCTTTGGTGTGCATGTGCTCCATGAACTTGGCTGCATGAAACTTCTTCCTCAGTTTTCCAAGTTAAATCAGAGAGGGTTGAAAGGTAGAAAACACCTCTTATTTCCTCTGTCGCTTCCAACAACACACCCTGCAGGAGACATCCTTTTAGCCAAGATTGCAGATGGATGGTTGGGTGTGTGAGCTGCGGGCTTTGTCTCGGGCTGGAGCTGATTATCCCCTCCCATGGCTGTTATAAACAGCTAAACCACACAACAAATTAACATGCAGAGGCTGCACCAAGTGGCAAAACATCAAGCCTGAACTGCTCACCAGTAAGTTGGGAGACAGACCTGCTTAATTCTTGTTGCGCTCAGAGACACCCTCACTTTATCTCAAGGACTGTGTAATTAGAAAGCCTCCTTTGAATTTTATCTGCAGGGCACACTGGATCTAATCCTTTGCTCTGCCTGCTTCTTTTCTCTCCTCAGAACCATGTGAGGGACGTTGCCGGGGCTCAGGACGCGCGCGGGGAACACGGAGTTTGCCTTTCCCAGGATGGATCAGAGGAGGAACTGGCCTCGGGCACTGGACTCTGATGGCTGGTCAGTGGCTTTGCTCTGTCTCTTCCTGGCATCGCTCTCCCGAAGCGTGTCCAGCAATGCCTTGTTCAGCACTTTCCACTCCGAGAACCGGGACTGGACGTTCAACCACCTGACTGTGCACCAAGGCACCGGCGCAGTCTACGTTGGGGCTATCAACAGGGTTTACAAGCTCTCGGGTAACCTGACCATTTTGGTGGCTCACAAAACAGGTCCTGAGGAGGATAACAAATCCTGCTACCCACCCCTCATCGTCCAGCCGTGCAGCGAGATCCTCACCCTCACCAACAACGTCAACAAGCTGCTCATCATTGACTACTCGGAGAACCGGCTGCTGGCCTGTGGCAGCCTCTACCAGGGCGTCTGCAAGCTGCTGCGCCTCGACGACCTCTTCATCCTGGTGGAGCCCTCCCACAAGAAGGAGCACTACCTCTCCAGCGTCAACAAGACGGGCACCATGTACGGCGTGATCGTGCGCTCGGAGGGCGAGGACGGGAAGCTCTTCATCGGCACGGCCGTGGATGGGAAGCAGGATTATTTCCCCACCCTCTCCAGCCGCAAACTGCCCCGGGACCCGGAGTCGTCGGCGATGTTGGATTATGAGCTCCACAGCGACTTTGTCTCGTCCCTCATCAAAATCCCCTCAGACACCCTGGCCCTCGTTTCGCACTTTGACATCTTCTACATCTACGGCTTCGCCAGCGGCAACTTTGTGTATTTTCTGACTGTGCAGCCGGAGACCCCCGAGGGCGTCTCCATCAACTCCGCCAGCGACCTCTTTTACACCTCCCGCATCGTCCGGCTCTGCAAGGACGACCCCAAGTTCCACTCCTACGTGTCTCTGCCCTTCGGCTGCGTCAAGGGGGACACGGAGTACCGCCTGCTGCAGGCAGCGTACCTCTCCAAGCCGGGGGACGTGCTGGCCAGGTCCCTCAACATCACTGCCCAGGAGGACGTCCTCTTTGCCATCTTCTCCAAGGGGCAGAAGCAGTACCACCAGCCGCCCGACGACTCCGCGCTCTGCGTCTTCCCCATCCGCGCCGTCAACGCCCAGATCAAGGACCGCCTGCAGTCCTGCTACCAGGGGGAGGGCAACCTGGAGCTCAACTGGCTGCTGGGGAAGGATGTCCAGTGCACTAAAGCGGTAAGGATGCTCTGGATGTTGGCCGCGGTGGCCCTCAGGAGCTGGGATCAACTCCTGGCCCTGTGGAATACGAGCTTGCTTGGGGTGGTTTAGCCTGGAGGAGAGGAGGCTCAGGGGAGACTTCATCACTCTCTAGAACTACCTGAAAGGAGGCTGTAGCCAGGTGGGGGTTGATCTCTTCTCTCAGGCATCTATCAGTAAGACAAGAGGGCACAGTCTTAAGCTGTGCCAGGGGAGGTTTAGGTTGGATATTAGAAAGAATTTCTTTCCAGAGAGGGTGCTCAGCCATTGGAATGGGCTGCCCAGGGAAGTGGTGGATTTTCCATCCCTGGAGGTTTTTAAGAAGAGACTGGATGTGGCATCAGTGCCATGGGCTGGGAACCACAGCGGGGTTGGATCCAGGGTTGGACTTGATGATCTCAGAGGTCTTTTCCAACCCAGCTGATTCTCTGATTCTATGAATAGGATAAATTTTTCTGTGCCTCAGTTTCCCCAAATGCAGAACAGTTGTAGTGCTCTTCCCCTTCAGCCTGTGTTCTTACCAGGGAGTTGGTGATGACAGTGAAAGGAAGGGATGGCAAAGGGAAGGGAACAAGCCACTGGGGAGGTTGGCTGAGGCTGGCAGGGGGTGGCACCGCCGGCTCCCCTCCGCATGACCCCGAGCATGTGGGGCTGCCCCGTGCTCTGTTTCACTCACAACCACCCCAAAAACCTTGTCTTTCCAGCCAGTCCCCATCGATGACAACTTCTGTGGGCTCGACATCAACCAGCCCCTGGGGGGCTCGACGCCGGTGGACGGGGTGACGCTTTTCACCTCCAGCCGCGACAGGATGACGTCCGTGGCCTCCTACGTCTACAACGGCTACAGCGTGGTGTTCGTGGGCACCAAGAGTGGCAAGCTGAAGAAGGTAAGCTCGTGTCCGTGGCTTCAGAGAGACAAGATCTGTTCTTCCTCTCTCTCAGGGGATTCTGATACCCGTTGATGTGTCTGGCAGGCGTTTCCCAGCATGAAGCCGGGAGTCAGTGAGGAGCAGGAATTGCAGGGTTTGGGTCACCAAGAGCCTTGTTGGTGAGGCAGAGTTCATCCCTCACAGAGGGGTGTTGCTGTGGTTTGTGTTGAAGTGCCAAGGTTTGGGAAAGGTGCTGCAGGATGGTCCTGGGAAAGGGATGAAACGAGGCCACACAGTTCCCGCGGCTCTGTGGCATTCCAGCTCCAGAGCATGTCCTTGCATGGGCTGAGGGCACCTTCCTGTGCTTCCAGCCAGTGAGTTCCCTCAGCAGCAGCAGGGTAATGGGGGTCTCAGCCCCAGCCAGCTCCTCATGCACTGCCTGCCTGGGTGTGACATGATGTTTGTCTGGGATTTTTGGGTTTTATCATTCAGTGACCTGTGGTGTGTGTTTGTGGGGCTGATGCCAAAATTACCAGGGCAATAATGGGCCAGTCTGATTAGGGAAAAGTGAGGAGCTGGCTTGGAATTTCAGTGAACCTCAGCACGCTGTATCCAAGGTCTTGGATGATTCCCCCTCTTTTGACACACCTATGGAAATCTTGCAATGGTTTTGAGTTGTTTCCCAGCAATCCTTCTGCAACTTGGGTAGAAGACTGTGAGTTAGAAAGATTTTGGTGATGGCAGAATTGCTGATGGTGGCAGGATGTTTGGCCATGGAGAGACAGGAATGGGTTAACTTGGCTGCTTTTGGAACCAAGCCTCAGGGCAAAGTCCTACTGCTTCCCTCTGCCTCTTACCTCCTGCTCTTCCCCCTGACAGCTGGATGATTGATCAGTCCTGGAAGATAACACTCCTTGCCCTCTTCATCAAGAGCACTGGTGCTACTTGCCCAGGGCAAAGAGATGCTTCTGCTGGTTCCCTCTCGAAGCAAAGGGGTCTGGGGGGGCTCAGTTGAGAGTCACAGAATGGTTTGAGTTGGGAGGAAACTTTAAGCTTACCTTGTTCCAACCCTCTGCCATGGGCAGGGACACTTTCCACTAGATCAGGTTTCTCCAAACCCTGTCCAACTTGACCTTGAATGAGTTTTAGAATTTCAAAATCCAACTGGGATTTCCCTGCTTCTGAGTCATAAAATCATAGGATATTCTGACTTTGAAGGGACCAGGAGTTTCATATTTAAAAGGGGTGTGGAATTGGCCTTGGGGTGTGAGCAGAGGTGTGTGAGACCCTGGTTGGTCTTTAGGGCTGGAGCTGCAGCTGGAATCCAGCTCATCAGTGGGTGCAGAAGTCTGATCCAGCTCCAGCAAATCCAGCCTTGGAGATGCTGCTCTGGAAAGCTGAAATCCTTCAAATTAACCTCAGCTATAAATGACAGCATTAGGTGAACCTGCTAAATGCAGACCCTGCTTCTTCATACCAGGGAAAGAGTTAACAAATGTAATCAACAGCAGGCTGTTAATTTTTTGTGTCCTTAAGCAGCAGGGAATTTCTTCCTCATCTATCCAGGAAGATCCAAGGACAGGCAGATACTACACTTGAATGTCTGCATCATTTTAATTACATCAGCTCATTAATATTCATTCAGCACTTTACAAGTGCTGAGTAGTAGTAAATTAGGTGCCTCCCTGGTGCCTCTCGAGTGTCAGTGGGGCAATTTTGAACGTGGGGGAGAGGGGGGTTTGTAAGCAGAGCCCCTCACTTCCCTGCTCCCCCTGCCGTGGCACAGGGGAGAGCCAGGATTTTTTTAGCTAAATGGATGGAAGAGGAGCCCTCAGCACATCACAAATGCACATGCCAAGCTCTGAGCCAGCCAGGCAGCCTGATGCTCGCTGTTTTGCAGGGTTTTTTGGGGGGGAGAGGGAAGTTGCCTCATTTAGAGGCAGTAAAAGCAAACAGCCTGTGCCTGCACACGAGGTATTCACAGTCCTGTTCCATGAATTATGTAGGATTACAGAAGAAGCAGTGTCTTCAGCAGGGTTTAATTCCTCGTGCTAGTCTACACTGAACACCTTTTTGATGCAGAATTAATCTATTCATGCTTCACTGTCCACTCTTCACCTGGAATCCTTCACCTGGTGGAAGAAAATAGGTCGATCTCTGGAGTAAATTCACTCCAGACATTCCCTACAGCCAGGCTTTCGTGGCATCTGCCCTTATTTCCCACACAGCAGAGCTGCCTGCAGCTGAGGGCATCCCTGCCCCCCGTTGTTAACTGGGACAGTCACAGTCCTGTCCTCCCAGCTCTGGGGCTGAGGATGTTGTTTTTCTCTAACTCTGGTTGTCCTGTCTACAATTTTAGTAAATCTCTCCTCGTTTGACACGTGGGATTATCTTTTGCACGGCCCAAGAGGGGCCAGGTGAAGCGTGGGAAGCAGCTTTGCACTGAACTGTGGGGCCCGTGGGGCTCTCGCTGCAGAGGAGGCATTTGCAGACCTGGTGGGAAGTTGACAAGTTGTCTCCAGTTTTTGTGCCTGTTCCAAGACCAGACATGTCTTGATGTCAGCAAGTGCTCAGGATGCTCAGGACTGTTTCCATATCTCTCCTCTCCCATCTGTGAAATGAGGATGGTAAAAATGTACACACCTCTGTAAGTGCCAGAGATCTGTGGATAGACATCTCATCCACCTGATCTCCTTCATATCCTCCCCCATTGCATATCTGCCCACACAATTAATGTCTGAGAGCTACATCACACCTATTCCCTCACCCACAGCTGCTGATTTCCTTTGGAAACAAGCTGGTCCTCAGTCTGGGGTTTCAGAGAAGACACTTTTGTGTAGCTGGAGCGAAGTCAGAGGAGCCAGCTCTGAAATCTTTCAAATTTGCCTGTGCTTCCCCAGTGAGAATTCCTTACTGAAAACGCTGTGTTATCTCACTGATGTCCTTCAGCCATTAGTTATTCACCCAACTCCTCCTGCCACGGTCCCTGGGAGAGCAGCTGCTGCTGCTTCAGCCTCTCTCCTCCAAAGGAGTGGAATACTGAAGGTCCCCGAGCCCCAGATATCCCTGCCTGCACTCTGCTACAGCCCCACGCTGTCCAGCTCGACCTTTTTCCCTGTTTCCTGGGTACATTTGAAGCCCCTCCCTGCTCCTCCCAGCATCCAGCACTGGCTGGGGTGTGAAGGAAGTTCTCTGTCTGCTGGGAAGTTGTGCAGAGCCCTGTGGCAGGGCTGGCAGCTCTCCCAGCCTGAACTCACCTCTTGCTTTGCTGGTTTTGGAGCCCTGCGGGGTCCAGTCGATGTTGGCAGCCCGGGCAGGTCCCGTGGGGTCTGTGGGATCAGCAGGGCTGCACCAGAGGGGTTTTGGTACCAAAGCTGTGACAAATCGATACTATCAGATAAATCAGTGAACTTGGCGTTGTCCCTGCAGGGGAGCAGAGCATTTGCTGGGGTCAGGGTTTGTGTTTAGGTGGAGGGTGTGCTTGTACCTGCTGTGGCTGATCCACACTGGTCAGCTGCTCCTCGTGCAACTGGTGGTTCTGGTTTGTGCTTTGCCTGTCCTTGGTTACTGTTGAAGGGAGAAGGGTGAACCAGTGGATCTATTCTCCATTAAAACTCGGTGCTGGAAGAGGAGTTTTCCTGCTCTGCCACCCCACTTGCCTCTTATTGCAGCCCACCTGTACATGGTGAGGGCTCAGGGGGACTTGTGGGTCACTCAGTGCATGTCCTGCACGAAATGTCTGCACCCCCAGAACACCCCCCACGTGCTGTTTTGGGGAACCACTGCTCCCCAGCAGCTTTATCCAAGTGGGGGAAAAGCAAAATGTGCTGGTGGTGCCGTGACCTGCTGGGTGAAGCCCAGGGAGGTGGGATGCAGTTCTCCCTGCAGCTCTCCTCCCAGAGCATCTCCTGGCTTTGGGAGGGGATCATGTCAGAGACATTACCATTCAGAATTGTGGATTCCACCAATAAAACAATTTTCATCCAGCAAAATTAAAAGGGACATTAATGCAACAGTTAACAGCAACTAAGTGCTGGGGGCAGATGTGTCAGCTTGCTTGTTCTGTTTATGGGCTTCATACAATTCCATCAATATTGATGTGTGATGCCTTTGATTTTGACACTAATCATTGCTATGAATTAAATTTGCAGCCATATAATTAGGGCTGCTATTAATAGGGCCTCAAGCTAAGCACTGCTGTGCTAGTTGTCTTTTTCCTGATGGAAAACGGCATCCACGGAACTCAGTTAATGTGGTTTGCCTGGTAGATGCTGAGACTGATGTGAAAATTACACTGGCTGTATTTAGAGGGGCTCCTCTGAAAGGCAGATGCATGGGGAGGGTCCAGCTTGGAGGTTTCCCCAAGAACTGTGCAGGAGTTGCCTTTAAACTTCCCAGCAGTTTGCTGCTCTTAAGATCCATAGTGGGAGAGAGGAGGATTGCAGGGAGAAAAGAGTAACCCTCAATTTGAAGGGCTGCTGTTGCCTTGTTTCCTTTTCATCTCATCTCTCCTTCCTCATGCAAATCTTCCCATTTCTTCCTCCTGCCCAGTGCTGTCTCAGCCCTCTGTCCCTGTGCCTGCCTGCTTTCATCTCGTCAGGCTCTGGGATGGCAGCAAAGCTCACCACTGAAAATCAATCTTGTGTTTCATCCCAAGAGGTCTGTTTCTTATTAGATCTAATAAATCAGTGAAGTGCCCTTCATTCAGCTTGTCGACGGAGGACAATGTTTGTGATCAAGAATAAATAAATGTCTCTTCTGTGTCTGACAACGCCGGCTGGGTGTTGTTTGGTGGTGTTTTGCCCTCGTGCTGTTCATGCTGGCTGTGGGAAACGTGCAGTTCCTGCAGCCCTGCCTACCCTCACATGAGCTGGAGATGCTCCTGGGTGGTAAATGTGAGGGAAGAGCAGGAACAATGACGCTGTACCTGGTTCTCACCCAGCAGTGAGTTGCTCAGTGGTGATAAGGATTTAATCTCGGAGATGCCGGAGGTGTGAGGCACTGGCTGGGCAAACTTC